GCGGCCCAAGGGAGAGCAGCCCGTGATCCCCAGCCAGCACGACCGTTGGCCCCGCTGGCCGGGAAGGTGTACCCGGAGTCCTAGCTGCTGTGAAGGAAGAGGGAGATGCAGCAATGGAAGGGGAGGAGAGCCTCCTCCTGGGGCCTGGGGCTGGCTTCCTTGCCCTCCTCCCCTTCTTCCTCCTGCTGCCCCATGGGTGGCTCGGGCAGGCGGTGGGGCAAAAGGGGCGCCCTGGGAGCCAGCTGGACCAGCAGAGAGGCTGGTCAGGCAGAGCAGCTGCAGCATTGTGGCCAGGGCCAGTGGCCCACGCGGCACCAGCTCCTGCCGCGGCCCGCCGTGGCTACATCGGATGGGTGGAGGGAGAGGCCGGGCAGTGTGGAATCATAGCTGGGGCGGTGGCAGCGGCTTCCTCAACCCTCCTCTTCTTCCTCCTGCTGGCTCGGGCAGGTGCCGGGAGGGAGCAGCAGAGCAGCCGCAGCATCGCAGCCAGGGCCAGTGGCTCGCATGGCACTAGCCCCCACCGCAGCTACATCGAATGGGCAGAGGGTGAGGCCGGGCAGCATGGAGGTGGCTGCAGCTTCCTCGCCCTCCTCCCCTTCTTGCTCCTGTTGCCCCCCGATGGCAGTCCAGGCTGGGGCGGTGGCCGGCGCCAGCATCGCCGAGCATCTCCCCGAGCCGGTCCGGGCGGCAGTCATGGCTGGGGCGGCAGCTGGTGGGGACATCGCTCCGTGGGCAGCTGAGCCGGCTACATGTCTCCCCAGGCTGGGTCGGGCAGCAGTCATGGCTGGGGCGGCAGCTGGTGGGGACATCACTCTCTGGGAAGCCGAGCTGGCCACATGTCTTGCTGGGCCAGGCAGCTGTCCCTGCTGGGGCAGCAAATGGGCAGCTCTGTCCCTTCACTGTCCTCCGAAGGCAGAACTCTGACCTCCCGCAGCAGGCTGATAGGCAAGCCCGAACGGCCGTCTACTGCCGCCTCGGAAGATTTGCCGCAGCAGCTCCTTCTCCCCGTCAGCCTCCTCCTCTGCTCCCTGGGAACCTTCGCGCCAAAAGGCAGAAAGAAGAAAGTCCCAAAGAGGGAGAGCACGTAGGTGGGGGGAGAGCAGTCTTTTCCGAGGGGAGAAGCCAGGATGGCAGAACTGCCCATACTTTAAAAATTTAACATGTATGGGAGAGGAGAATATACCGCAGCGCAAGGGCATTGAAGGGAAGGCGGGGGGAGGGGGGGAGAAGAGAGATAGGAAGGAAAGAAAACGAAGGAAGCTCTGTAGCCACCCAAGAAAAAGCAAATTTAAACACAGTAGCTGCCAGGGAAGGAGGAGGGAGGGGAGGCTTGGCAACTTGCTGAAAGGGACCGATTCGGGGTTCAGGTAAGGCGCAAATCTTTCTGGATCAGGGCGGGGAGGGGCATTGGGGATTCTGACCTCTGATGGAAGAAAATGAAGCTGATCCAGCCTCTTCAATCAAGTTCCCTGTTCTGCGCCTGCGTGTGAGTTTTTTCTTTTCTGAGGGAAATGGGTCAAAGTGGCTCTTTCACTTTTTCAGGTTGCTGACCCCTGAACTAGATACTGTTCAGCTTTTCTTATTCTTTTTTTTTTTCACTTATGTTTAGGGACATTGTAGCCTGTAGTCCTGTTCTGCAATATTTTTTAAAAACACAGCTGTCATAATTTCAGTGTTTCTGTTTTGTTTGTGGTTTCTTTCTTTTTTCATGGCCATTCTAATAGGAAAGGTGGAGGTCACAGTGTAAGGCTGCTTTATTGAGGCCTGGAGAATAGCTAACAGCTAAGCTACAGAGAAGCCTCTAAAAATGATACTGTTATGCAATTCGCGCAATAGATTAATTAGGAGGAAAGAAGAGGTATCAAACTGGCAACCAAGTATATTATTTCTCTAATATTATCTTTAAAATACGCAAGAGCTGCCTATCCTAACACTGATTATTTTTAAAAGACATATTTCTATCCAAGTGCAGAGCTTTTATTGCTTTCTGGCATCTGTTTTTTCCCTTTGTACTTTTCATGGTTCTACCTGCAATTTGATACTGGTTTGATACCAGTCCTTGAAGACACTGAATTCTTGAAAGATTGACTGTAGTATAAACAAGCTAAAGGTTACAGACTTCTTCTCTTCTTCAATGTCTATCAACTCCAAGCTAGTGTAGTGAGTGGAGAACGAGTGAACGAGTCTTCAAAATTTGTTACTGAGCCTGGTCATCTTGATGAACAACAGGAATGAAAATCACGCTTGTTGTTGATCTCTCGTCTTGTCAGAGAAGCAACAGGTAAACTTTCTTCAGCAGGGGATTCTGAAATTCCACTAATTAAAGTCCTTCTTGACAGAATGGAGAGCCTTGTTAATAACTGTCGCTGAATCAATCAGCAAATATGATACCAATCCACACTATTCCATTCTCAACTTTACTAGTAATGACTGAGCACTCCGATATCTAGATAGCTGCACAATTAAAACCCAATATTCTATTTTTGTTTTATTTTACATTTTTAAAATGTTTCTTAGCTTGAATGTGGATTAATAAAACTATGTGGTAATTGAAACATATTTTAGTACTGCAGTTAATTTATTTATATATTTTCTTACATTAATAAATCTGTCTATTGTACAAATAGTCCTCAAATTAATACCATTTGTTTAGCAACCATTTGAAATCACAATGGTGCTGAAAAGAGTGGCTTATAATAGGTCCTTGCATTTTCTTTGCAGCGTCTCTGTGGTCACAGTATCAAAATTTGGGCACTTGGCAACAAGCATGTATTTGTGACGTTCTCAAGTCAGCTGCCAACAAGCAAAGTCAATGGGTAAGTCTGATTTGCTTAGCAACCACATGATTCACTTAATGACAATGGCAAAAAAAAGATTGTAAGAAAAGGCATTGTGGTCATGAGTTAAGGACTGCCTGTAAGCCAAGACAAACTTTAAAAAACTGATGACTATTCTTGACCAAAAATACAGGACTAAAAAAAGGTGAGTACAGTCCTAAGAAAAATAATACTGAAAGAACTAGCAACAAAATTCATAATTCAATCCAGGAGCCAAGATTGATTCAAAAGGTAGGAAACGGAATCTGAATACGTATGGCCTTTATTTTTGATTCCCTTGAAGATTTGGCTAAACAAAATATGTCAATGACTGGGGTATCTGAGATTATTTTTATGATAATTTTGCTTATTATTTTATGAATATTTTGCTGACTCACTGTAAACTTTTCATATAACCCAGGCAGATTAAAAATAATAATAATCAGGGCTTTTTTTCTCATAGAAGGCCCAGAACCTTTTTTTGGATGGAACCTTGTAGGGTAGGCAAGCTGTGTTGTATGGCGTATGTGAGTTCCGGCACCTCTTTTTAAAGAAAAAAAGCACTGATAATAGTAATAATAAAGATTGGCTGAACGTAATGTGTAGGTTTTTAAATAACAAGGTTGCAACACTGACAAATAGAGCAGGCAGTAAGAAGATTCCCCAGCCATTATTTGCTGTACAAAGATATAAATGCCAGTTGGAAAGGGGTTTTTTAAATGTTTCTGGGGGTAAAGGCAAACAAATCTACTGGATAATTATTTTCAAGGCTATGGAAAGGATTCTGAAAATCCACTATGTAAAACCTCTGCTGGAACCTGAGAGAGCCATTTTCCTGCAATTTACAATAACTATCATTTCCTTGAGTCCACTGCTTCTTACTACCAATTGTCCACCCACCAACACTTCCTGACTCCAAAAATAAAAAATAAAATTGATGAGGCATTCAAAAAATGGGACAGTCCCCACACATCCTGTACCTCCAGAGTGTATTAAAATCAATTCAAAATGGTGGGCATTGCTCCTTGTTAAATTTTATTATTTTGTTTGTAAATCTCTATCAACAATAAAAGGGAAATCTATGCACAAATTCCACCATACTACCCATGTTTCAGAAGTATCCTCAAAGGACTCCTATTACCCATGAGTGAATTATCAACAGTAGGCAAACTTTATGCTTTGTATCTCAGAAATGAGTTAAATATGTGGCTGGCAGATCCTAAAATCTTGGGGACTGAGCAGTTTGGACTCAGTGAAGGCTGCTCTACATTGGATTACATATGGTCTTACACCATCGGCTTAAAGCAGCTTTCAATTCTATTTATTTATTATTTATCTGATTTATGTACCACTCATCTCATCTATTTCTAGAAGACTACTATGGGAAACACAAAGGAAACCTTCAACTGACCAGAAGGCAATTATTCTAAATCCTTTTTTCAGATTACATATAGTCCTAATGGCACTTTAACTAATATACTTCTTTCTATAGGTGGAGCTAGACAAGGGTGTGTCTTGACTCCAATCTTGTTCAATTTTTATATGAATGACTTGGCAGCCTCGTTGGAAACTGAAGACTTTGCTGCCCTAAGCTGACTGATGTATATGTGCCTTTTTTATTATATGTTGATATGATCTGTTTGTTTTGCTAGAAGTCACCATGTCTCTAGTGACTGATGAGAGTTTTCTAGCCATATTGCAGTAATAACAAACCAACCTTAAAGTATTCTAAAACGAAGTTACTAATCTTTTCCTGCTCCAGGAAATCATGTAAAAGATATTTTGATCACCAATATATTGAACAGGTATGTTTAGGATTTATTTCACCGTTCTGTTTAAATGAATTTTCCTTATCCAGATTTATAAGGAACCAATTTTCTAGTGAGACACCCTTGCAACCCCTTACTCCTTGGGAACATGCTTTTTTGAACTGTATCCTCTACTGCAGTGGTTCTCAACCTGTGGGTCGGGACCCCATTTGGGGTTGAACGACCATTTCACGGGGGTCACCAAACAATGCAGTCCGCCATTTTTCCCCTTTTCTTTAGCTGTGCTACTCCCTTTTATTCTATTGGCTTTTGAAAGCCAATAGAATAGACTCTCTTGAATAGAGTCTAATTCTATTGGCTTTCAAAAGCCAATAGGAATTGTCCAGGCTGTCTCTGCCCTGCTGAGCCCGCCAAAAGTCCCATTCTGCAAACGGTGCTGCCCCAGTTGAGTAGTCCACGACTTACGACCAGTTGAATAGTCCTCGACTTACGACCGGTTGGGGATCGCGGCATTAAAAAGGTTGAGAACCACTGCTCTACTGGGATATAAAGAACAAATATAACCACTACTTTTAAGGTTCCCAGGAATAAATTATTTATTTTATGTAACTTACTGCCTTGCAGATACAAGCCCAGACATAACTAAAATGGTTGCAAAAATATTTTATATTGCTATTAAGAGGCTGCAACAGCCCTACCTATATTGATTTTAAGTATTATTGTATACTGTTGCCTGGCCAAAGGCTCTAAATTCATTCATTCATTCTTTCTTTCATCCATCCATCCATCATATTTCATATTTAACTGGGACAGCATTATACGGTGACTTTGTCTAGGTGAGGGAGTATCAGAATTCAATGCAGAGAATTTGCCCCATACCTCACTTTTAAGAATTCTTCAGTTCTTATTTGAAAAACTGATTGTAAGTTGGAATACACTGGAATTCTATTCTGAGACAATCCTAGCTACATTCAGCCAACAAACTAGCTTCTTAGGACTTAGGACTGACACAATACCATGATTCTAGACTACAGAGCTGCTACAGCTTATTTTAGACTGCTTGAATCTACAAAGACAGAATATCACTGCAGCTTGACAGCAAGACAAGAAGCCAGATTGTGACACATCATTTTGTTTTGTTTTGTGGTACAGCTGTGACAAATGAAGGCATACGAAAGGAAAGACAGAAATCATATATTAACTTCTTAATCAAAGTATGGACAAGTAATGGCATCAGACGTTCTTTTATAAATTAAAGTGACTGTGCCTAACAAGACACTGTGACAATGGAGAGTTGGATTATGCTTTTAAACTGTTTGTGGTACTTTATCACAAAGTGATACAACACAGAGCAATTTTGGCACTGTTGGCAGCCCCTTATTAAAGAGGGGACTGATCTATCACAGCTTTTTCCCTGTAACAGAAAATTATTTAGCATTCGCTTGGAGGAGCTACTCAAGGAATAGGAAAGTTTTCAAGAAGTTGCTGTCGTCAGAGTCAAACATTTTTAGATCATTCTAGAGATCTTCTCTATAGATTAGTGTGGTGGATATACATGTGCAAAACTGCAAAATAATAATAGATGTACCCAAATATAGATTTTTTTTAAACACTAAGGCCCAAAACATTTCTGGACTTTAAAATGTTATCCTAGGCAACACTTTTATTTTGATCAGGAAAGCTAATTGCTATAAAACATTCTGGATTCCTTTATGTCTGTAGTAATGGCATCTATATCTAGTCATGGGATTGTATAGGAGGGGATACATTCAATGAAATCATGCAGCTGGGCAGGGAGGGATGTTCCCTTTTAGTGAATGGAGATTTTCCACTTTAACAATATGATCATGATAAAGGGTGGGTCTTAAAATGACTGTAGAGAAACAGAAAAATGCAAAGCTTGAATTTGCAAGCCAAATTATGGTATTTTACTGTCTTGAATAGATCGCCCTCTTAATCATCAAAGGATCACTGAAGCATTAAAAAAAATAAACAGTCAATCAAAGATGAGGAAGAAAGAAGGGACACTGCAATGTTGCTTTCAAAAGAACAAGCATGCAGTGTGTAGGCCTCTGTGGATCCCTTTTTCAGAGTAGCCCCTGGTATAATCCCACTTTTGTGACACTCAGCAAGCCAAAGAGCAGTCACCTGCTTTTCTTCTCAGAATATCTGAAGCGCACGCTATTTCTGAAATGAAGTCCTCGGCCATAAGTCTTCTCTTGATGCTGCATTTCACCCACCTTGCATATTCCATGTGTGCTTTTAATGTTTACTATTCAAGAGGTGGTTTTGGAAATTACGCCACTGCATTGTTAGCATCAACTGTCTTGCTGTTTTGACAGGATGTCATTGCATATTCAGCTTGACTTGTTCCATTCTCTTCTGTTCTTATAGGTTTCCTTTGTTGCAGCCCAATAAAAGTGATATTTTAAAAAGAAAGGAGAGAAAAACAAATTTATTAGCTATGCAAAATACTGAAAAACATTCTGTACAGATGATTCATTATAAAAGGATTCCTAAAACTAAAAATATCGTTATCTCATTCCATCACCAATGTTGTGCAATTCTATAAATCTTCAAATTTGGACTATTTATCTACAACATGAATTACTGAAGAGTTCTGTATTACTACTGTTAACATTTTTCTGATGCCAAAAAAAGGGGTGAGCATCCAGATGGTTTCCAGATATTCAATTCTCCTCAATGCCAGTTGGACAGCCAACAGCAAACCATCTAGAGAACAGCAGATTGCATGCCCTGAACAAGGAAAATAGGGGGGAAATGCAAGAAAATAACCCCTTGATTTAAAAGGCCTTGTTCTGGGCACTTTAGATACAATGAAGAAAATCTGTCTATACACCAGATACTTCTATGCACACATACACAATTTGCTACATTATACATGCAAATGCATATACTATGAGAAATGCACGTATAAAATCTAGTGCCATTTTATGTATAAGCAAAATTCCTTTACATTTAATTCATATTCTATTTTTACAGATGGCATTATTCCTTGTAAGTCTGTTAAATCTAAGAGTTTTTATACCTTAAATCCTGGGTCAAATCTTATTTTCTGTCACCTTTTCCAATAGCTACTCTATTCAGAAATATTTAGACATGAAAGCCAAATCATACATAATTACAGTACTGTACTGTACCACAGTCAACTGATATTGAGATGAGGGGGCATATAAATTTAATGAATGAATGAGTGAGTGAGTGAGTGAGTGAGTGAGTAAGTAAGTAAATAAGTAAATAAATAAGTAAGTAAGTAAAGTTTTCCAGTGGCTTAAGTATATACAAATGAAGAATAGTGTTGTTTCTAAATCAAGGGACAGGTAGGGGGAAGATTCTGTAGACCGTTGGCTTTCCTCTCTTTTGAAAGATGCAGATGTGGGCATGTGTACTCTTTAAAACAGCCTCTTGACTTGAGGCGTGGCGAGCAACATTGTTACATTATTATTGCTAACGTTAAACTGTCAATTGCTTTTTAAATTATTGCTTTTTAAATGAACACTTAGTTTGCAATCTTATCTTGTTTATTTTTTGCAAGGTGTATACAATTTAGAGTTCTGCAAAGATCAGTACTAACCAATTAATGGTATTCAAGTTTGCTTTTCAAGCCATAGAGCTTCAGAGATCACTTTGAACTTTGTTTTTTAATTCTAGATACAAGACTGGAAGAAGAGAGAATCCAAAGACATTATAATGCTGTTTCAGTAAGAACAAAATGAAGAATTTATAATGACTAATTGTATGATGATCAATCAAACATTTATGGTGGCCTCTGGATCAAAAAGTACAATAATATAATACAGAGATTTATAATTATTGTAAAATTTTTAAAAAGCAATGCAATTACATAAAATATATTATTCAATAACCCAGCTATATTGTTTAAGATGACTTCTGGCATGATGATAATCCAACTCAGCTACAATATATTCAGTTTGACAAAATATATTTGTTTCCTGTCAAACAAGAATTATGGTATATTAAGTTGAGTTTTGACTTCAGTACTGTCACAGGTAAATTATAATAGCAATAGCACTTAGACTTATATACCATTTCATAGTGCTTTACAGCCCTCTCTAAACGAGTCAGCATATTGCCCCCAACAATCTGGGTCCTCATTTTTACCAACCTCAGAAGGATGAAATATAAAAATGCTTACAGAAATTATCAGTGATTAAATATAATACTTATTAGTATACATTTCTATTTAATCAGACATTTTTAATTATAAACTAATTCACTTCAATTAAAAGTATTAATCAGACACATTCATTTTTTTCAGCATCACTGAAAAATAGTCAAAATAGTCATGCACTGTTTAAAATAGTCAAATATAGGTAGTCTTCAACTTATGGACGGTTGTTAATGACCGTTTCAAAGGTACAATGGCCTCAGAAAGGATGCTTTACAGTCCATAAAGCACTTCTGGCTATCACATTATGCTGCTCCTTCCCCTACCCATGGCCACATGATTACGAACTGTGTCTTTGGCAACCTGTTTGCACTTAAGACCAGTTGCCAAGTGCTCCATGATCATGTGATCAGCATTTCCAAACTTCTTTACTGGTTTCTCAATGGGGCAGCCAGCAGGGAAGGTTGCAAGCAGCTATCATATGCTACAGCACTGAGATTCTGGCAAGCAGGCAGCTCTTTGAGAGTGAAAGAGGATCTGAGATTCAAGAGTAAGAGGGCTGCCCACTGAGGAACTCCTTGAGTGGATTGCAGAAATGAAGGTCAGATCCAAAAGATCAGTGCTGTTTTTGTGCAGTCTCTTGAAGAAGTTTACCTTTGTGCAAAAGGGAGGGATGGAGAAAGGGAGTTCAGATCCTGAAGATCCCACTCTGTTCCTGCAGCCCATCACAGTGGTTCTGTTCCATGCATGGAGCGGAGATGAACTTCTCCAGCAGGATGCAGAAACAAAGCCTGGACCCCAAAGATCCAAAATTTGTTTCTGCAGCCCATTGCAGAAGTTCCTGTCCACCCATGGAGAGGGACTGCTTGCCCTCCTTTAGCAGGCAGCTCTTTTGCTCTGTCCACTTAATTACTACAACTGGGAGAGCTGGGATTATGGTTGTTGGGTGAAGTGGTCATGTGGGCATCTTGTTTAGCTACCACTTCACTCAATGTTAGATTCCAATCCCAACTGTGGTCCCAAGTCAAGGACTATCTGGAGCTGAGTATTTAAAAAGTATGCACGATTTAAAAACAATGTTAGGAAAATAAAATAAGGTAGAAAGAACAATCCAGAATCCTCATTATTGTCCTTTTGCAAATTTTCTTTATAGCCTCCAATTATTTGTTAAATCTGAAATGTGTGTATATTCAAAACTAATTATTTTTTTTAATCTTTCCGCTGTCTTCATTACTCCAATTCTGTTCTCCATTCTGCTCCATCTTTTAAAATTGTCATTTGTTTTGCAATTAGTACTGGTGTATGTTAAGTGCTCTTTAAATTCATAATATTCACTCCATGCAAATCCACTCCAAATTCATGCCAGAAGCAGAAGTAACTCATTAAAATGTCTACTATGAAATTTTCTACATGCAGTTGTTTTGCTAATTAGCAAATCACTGATTGAACTCTTTGTAAAATTGCTTCCAAATGAAAGGAACAATTTTATGTTGAACAAATGAAACTTTATGATGTTGAGCAAGAAATGAAATAGGAGTGCAAATTTGTAAACTTTCTATCTCTCATTTTCCTGCATCCAAAAACCTCACAAGAATACCATTTAGAAAATGATCAGTTAAATACATCCTAGTCTTATTAATCTGTCCCATTCAGACAGCAAAGCAACTATGAGAGAAACATGGGCCACGACCACTAGAAGATATTGCTACTACAGGATGTAACTGAATCTAATTATTTCTGAATAATGCCCAACTTCTTTCACTTCTTGCTTTTCATGGTCTGTCTTATGTTACAATGAAATCTAACCATTTATTTATCGTTGCCTGACACTGAATATGGGGGTCAAAAAGGAGGGATGACTTAATCATTTAAATCTGATGGTAAGAAAGAAGCACTAAGAAATAATGGATGGGAAAGGCTAAAGATGTTTGTTTTCCTCATAAGGAGGTAGCTCAGGTCCTATTTTAGACATTTACAGGTAATCCTCAACTTACAACCATAACTGTCGTTAAGTGAGATAATTGCTTTTTTTGCCCCATTTTACAACCTCTCTTGCCACAGTTAAGTGAATCACTGCAGTTATTAAGTTATTAACATGGTTGTTAAGTGAAACATGGCTTCCCCATTGACTTTGCCTGACAGAAGGTTGAAAAGATGATCATATGAGCTTGGGACACTGCAACCGTCATAAATACTAGTCAGTTGCCAAGCATCTGACTTTTGATCATGTGAGCATGGGAATGCTTCAACAGTTGTTAAGTGTGAAAAATGGTCATAAGTCACTTTTTTCAGTGCTGCTGTAACTTTGAATGGTCACTAAATGCCAGGGATGATTGACACCCTTCAAAGAACAAAATCTTAACAGTAATTAAGTTTAAATTAAATTAATTAAAATTTAATAAATTAAAATTAATTAAATTAATTAAGATGAAGAGATGGCTAAGTCTCATATATTTAATATTTCCCACTTTTGTCACATAAATAATTGTAATTATAATTTAATTATACTCACCTGCTCTTTTCCTCTGCAACTCAATGCTAATTAAGTGTGCTTTCAGGTCCTTAGGGGTCACCTAATTTTTCCACTGAGATCTAATATAAATCTAATATAAATTTCCCCAAATCCTCTTAATTCATTTGTTTTCAGCTTGGTTTCTGGGGCTCTAAACTGATAGAATCATGGATAGAATGTAAGGTCTGGAAAGGAAATGTCTGATCTTTGTACTCAGTAAAGCATCCCTGACAGCCAAAACACTTTTGAAGTAGGACAATCCACCACTACCTGAGGTAGTCTTTTAGCCTGTTGAACAGCTATTACCAGTAGCATTTTTCCCCCTGATACCTAACTGAAGTCTGCTTTCTGGCAATTTACTTATTTATTTTTTATTAGCCTGGCTTATATGCCTTTGCATTTCCAAAGATTCTAAGTAGTTATGATTAACAAAAAATTTAAAAAAATAAAGAGCAGAATCTTCCCACATCTCTAAATGCCTTTATAGAATCTTAGTTTCATAACTCTTTGAAAAAAGAATTAAGGGAAATGGGACCATCTGGACATGGGGGGGGGGGTTAGAAATAGGAATCCATCTCTGAGAAGACTTAAGCAGGGGTCCCTTACCTCAGATTTGCAGCCTGCAGCAAGCCCTCTCTACTAGATCTTACCAGACCACACCAACTCAAACTAGAGTTATGCAGGCTCTGAGCCATGAAGAGGTTTAAAAGTGATATTTAAATTGCACCTCAAAGATC